AAACTGGTCAAATAAGCATAATATTAAAGTTAGAAAATGTGAATACTCCAGAGTAAGGATAACAGTACAAATATATGCACTTGAAGAGTTTACTTATTTATTTTTTAAATATGTTTTTATTGATTTCAGAGTGAAAGGGAGAGGGAGAAAGAGATAGAAACATCAATGATGAGAGAATCATCTATCACCATGCCTCACACTGGGGATTGAGCCCCCAACCCAGGCACTTGAAGAGTTTAAGTTCTATAAATTAATAAAATAACAGATATTAAAAAAGGAAAAGTCATCCTGGCTGTGTGGCTCAGTCAGCTGGAGCTTTGTCCCCTACACTAAAAGATTGTGGGTTCTATTCCCAGTGAGGGCACATATCTAGGTTGAGGGTTTGATCCCCAGTCGGGGCACATACAGGAGACAACTGATCTATGTTTTTCTTTCACATTAATGTTTATCTCTCCCTTCCTCTTTCTAAAAATCAATAAAAACATATCCGTGGGCAAGGATTTAAAAAAAGGGGGGGAATCAACATATACACTGTAAAGTATAATTTAATTTATACTGGGAAAGGAAAGCAAGTTCTCTTAATTAAAAAACAAATACATAAAAATTATTTTAGTGAACATCTGTTATTTTTGCCTATCCATCAATTCTCCCATCTCTGGGAAATAACACCTCAATTTTCCTTTAGCAATTTACTAGTATATGCCTCCTACCCTTAATTCATGTGGTTTGAAACTGTATACCCCCTACAACCCACTCCAGGGTAGGAACAAGAGCCAATCCTGGCCATACAAGGCATTCTATCACTCTAGCTACAGAGATTGCCTCTAGGATGGGCAATGACCCAAGTCAAGCCAATGAGACTCCCTCCCATACACTAGAGAAAGGAAAGTTCTTTCTCTTCTGGGGTTTCTAAGGTTAGAGGAAGTAAGGCTAGTGCTATTAGTACCATCTTCCCCACAGAGTCTGACTTCACACTCTTTACTTTTCCACACTGATTCCCAAACATGCAAGGAATTAGTGGTTACCTGTGGCAGAGGAAAAGATAAATTAGGATTTTAACTTTCAATGTTATATTTTCTATAACTTCCATTTTCCAAAATAAACACCTCTCTCTCTATATATATATATATGTGTGTGTGTGTGTGTATGAGAAATATGTTAATTAACCAGGACACTGTACCGGGTCAACAGGACAGGAGGAGGTTGCGCGCGGTGGCAGGGGTGGGGCGGCAGGGGCCTCTGGGCACCTGCGCTGGGGGAGGGCCAGATCAGCAGCGGCCCTGGTGGCTTCAAGGGCCGGAGAGGGAGGCAGGGCTGGACAGGTAGCGGACAGGGCTGCTGCGGGCCCGGGGAGAGAGGCAGGGCCGGACCAGCGACTCGAGGGTGGGCAGTGCCGCGCAATTTCAAATCGCACACTGGGCTCCTAGTTACTTTTATAAAAGGAAGTATGGAACATGGGAAATATGCCCATGTGTTTTCCTCTCATATATGCTCAGATATCAATATTTAACACCTTAAAAGCATTAACAATTTTCTCATAATTTACCAAAGTGTGTAGAACATCTATTTTAAAAGAATTAACTTTTCCCCTTGGCACAAAAGCAAACTATTCTTATTCTGAGGGGGGAAAAAGTGGTGAGTAAACTTTTTAAAAACTGTTTCTCTTTTTAAAAGAAATATATTAAACAACTCTATATGGGGAAGAAATGACTAATGTTCAGCAAGTGCTATAGCCATTGTAAAAATTGCTCAAAAGGTAAAATTAAAGAAACTAGAAGAAACCATAGGCAGCAAAATCTCAGACATCTCTCATAGCAATATGTTTGCCAATACATCTCCTAGGGCAAGAGAAACAAAGGAAAAAATAAACAAATGGGACTACATCAAAATAAAAAGCTTCTGCACAGCAAAAGAAACCATCCATCTAATAAGGGGTTAATATCCAAAATATATAAGGAACTCATACAACTTAACAAAAGGAAGACAATCCAATTAAAAATAGGCAAAGGACCTAAATAGACATTTCTCCAAAGGACACATACAGATTGGTCAAGAGACATATGAAAAAATGCTCAAAATCACTAATCATCTGAGAGATGCAAATCTCTCTGTCAGAATGGCTACCATCAACAAATCAGCACATGAAAGTGCTGGTGAGGATGTGGAAAAAGGGAACCCTAGTACACTGTTAGTGGGAATGAAGATTGGTGCAGCCACTATGGAAAACACTATGGAGTTTCCTCAAAAAATTGAATATGGGCCCTGGCCGGTTTGGCTCAGTGGATAGAGCGTAGGCCTGGGGACTCAGGGGTCCCAGGTTCGATTCCGGTCAAGGGCATGTACCTTGGTTGTGGGCACATCCCCAATAGGAGGATGTGATCGATGTTTCTCCCTCATCGATGTTTCTAACTCTCTCTCTCTCCCCCTTCCTCTCTGTAAAAAATCAATAAAATATATTTTTAAAAAATTGAATATGGAACTGCCATTTGACCTAGTGAGCCCACTTTGAAGAATTATATGCCTCAAACACCAATCAGAAACCTGAAACACCAATCAGAAAAAATATATGCACTTCTATGTTCATAGTAACATTATTTACAATAGCTAAGATCTGGAAACAGCCCAAGTGCCCATCAGTAGATGAGTGGATAAAAAAGCGGTGGTACACCCTG